CGTACAAACAGCCCATTCCCTAATATTTGGGCCCATTTCGAATTACTAATGCTCTTATCTGTTCTGTAACTGGTGGGAAATGTTCGATTAAATAGAAATCGCAGAGTTGAAATTTTGAATGCAAGTAAAATAGTCTGATCGTTCGGCATATTCTACTAGAACGATGAACATCAATCGTTATTGATATCCCGTTATGTTTAAACATACAACGAATTTTGCCTTCACCATTGCGGGTTTTCGTGATGTAAATGTTCATTACCAAAGAGGTATTAGATTTTTCAAAAGCCAGAGAACTGGAAAATCAATTATAAACTCTTCGGGTTTGAACTTCGTGTCTTCCAAATGCTAGCCTGATAGGCTGTCATTTACATAATGGAAGCAAAAGCAATGATCCCTTATAAACCCGTACTTTTTTTATACCCATGTGTTTTATACTTCGAAGGAGAAGTAAAATTAAAATTCTACCACTTCCTAATACCGTAGTGATCCATGGCAGAGCACGTCTAGTCACTCTAAAATCTCTCAAACTCAATATCTTAATCTAAAAATTATGGATCTAAATTATTCATAGCTGTGTACTACTGTAGAGACATTGGGTAATTTTGAGGTCGGAGAGATGAAAAGTTAGCAACGCCTTCCCCGGGAATTGAAACGCGGACCTCTGGAATACGCGCCCAGCGTGCAGACCACCACACCACGAAGGCATGCCAATAAGGTGGGAGAAATACCTTATGGTATAAAGTTCTTTAAATAGTATATAAGTAAGTAAGTAAATATATATAAATAAATAAACATAAATAAGAGATACTTAGTTAATTGATTGAAAAAACTCTAAAATAATATTAAAGAACAAAAAATAGAAAAATAAAGTAGCTTTTGTGATATAGCTGCTTTTTTGTGTTCAAGATTATTCTCAAAATTTCATTAGCAGATTCCATGTACATAATATATTGCTAAGGTATGTTACTAAGATGATATAATTCTTTGTATTTTAGCTGTCATTAGTTTTCGAAGACTATAGTTTAAAATCACTCCCCCTGAAAGTAAAATTATTGATTAATGTGACTAATCAATGTATCTCTAAATACAATCCGAAATTTAAATTTTACAAAAAGATCATATTAAATTTTATTAGTCAAAAATTACAATATGCTAATGAACTCTTTCGTGGATGGAGCCACGTTATTTTGTATTATATAAATAAAGTAGAGAACTGATTTTTCTTCCTCACACATAACTTCCTTTACACTAGAAAATAACTCACTCCATTCGCTTTAGACTCTTCCACTGCAAACATTCTTTCTAAACAGTGAGAAAGGATACACTTTGCATGTTCGGTAGTAAAAACTATATTTTTCCTGGACTGCAGTTGTCAGAAACCCGTTGACAAAATAATAAAAAAAAAAGTAATAGCAGGAAAACTTCGGTCCTCACAACGAATTTTATGCACTCAATATCAGTTCCACGTCGTGTGAAAAAGAATATATCGACTAGGGCTTAGAGTATAAGCCTCTAAACACAATGCATAAGTGCATACTTTTATACTAGCAGATGGTATGGTCATTTTGATCTATTCTTTGTTGTTATTCTACGGATATGTCTCCCTGCTGCTATAGCCAAGTATTCTTGCTTTGATAAATTAAAAAATACGCAGATGCTTCAAATGGTGAATGAAAAATCTGTAAAGATCATTTTGAGATTTTTAAACCTCATATAATAAAAGAAGATTACCTGAAGAGCATGGTATGAAAATTATAATTTCAAGAATCCTCTGTTTTACTAATAAGCTTGTAATATGGAGAAATGTATTGGTTTTTAAAATTAGCTACAAACAAAAGCTATTAGTAATAATTGCAAAATTGCTGATCCCTATGTAAGGTGATATTTTTTCAATTTTCAAATCTGCATTGCATCCTATAAAAAAGCTGTGCCTCTAAATATTTGTTAATAGTGTTGATGTTTTAATCTGTTAATTAGTCACATTTAAAAAACTTCAGTAACATTCGTTGTATTTTGAGAAATAATTAAGCTTTCTTCAAAGAATAAAACGAAGATTTTTCAAAAGATTCACGCGTTTCTCCTTGTTGGGATTTATCTTTAATTACGAAGGCATTTTAGCTTAATCTAACTTTCCTTCTACTTTATTTAATCTAATGAAATTTTAATTTAATCTAATTTTCTTTAACTACGCAGGCTTTTTAATTTAATCCAATTTTTCCTTTGAAAGTAAATTTCAGTTTTCTGATTGGGAAGAACTGTGTGAATTTTGAAAATATACTGTGTACGTAAAATTTAAAGAAGTTTGCCTGAAATAAAGCAGACGAATAATTTTTAAGTAGAACAAACTTGTTTACGATAAAGCGAACTAAATGGCAATTTTTGCCAAAAAGCAGAAAAGCACTTTTCGTTTCTTAGTAATTTGAAACTTCCAATCAAAAATGATTCTTTTAATACTTAACGTGCAAACGGATTCAAATCAGTTTCGCTTAGAAGTTATTTAAAGCACCCGTTCTCTTAGACAGAATACTTTCGTGTTCTGTGTCATAAGCCAAATAATCCAATCAAATCTATTTCAGTATTTTACTACTTTTGAAAATTGCTTCTTTTTCAAGTATCAGTATTTGGCTTTAGACCGTTAGAAATATTGAAAAACGAAAACATCTTGTGTAACTGAAGCTGATGGAATGATTTTATATAGCATAGAGAATGCATAAATGCTGAAAATTATGTGCCGATTAGCTACTAAGAACTATTGTGTTTGTTTCAAATTAAAAGCTGTCCGTGCCCTCAAACAACAGAGAAGCTTGGATAAAATTTGCCTCTCAGTACCTTCCGCTCTTCAACTACACTGAAGATAAACACAGATTCCTTTTTAACGATAAATATACTCATCTTAAAAGTTAAACTAATAATGTTTTTCTCGGTAATGATCATATTCTAAGGTATGTTGCAATTATTACATGTTTTTCTTTTCGGCACTTTAACTATGAGAAAGGGATGACAAAAGTAGGCTTCCCTTAATTCTTCTTTAAGAAACAGTTTTCCATTTCCTTTGAAAATTTTCGTTTCTACTGCAAATTATAATAAAAAAAAAATTTAAACTAATTCCATCAACAGTTATCAGAATTGCAGCACATTTTACTGGAATTTTTACTGGCGTATAAAGAGGAAATAATTTCTCGCAAAATGCTAAATTTTTCAATAATTTAAGCATGTTTTCCTTTAACAGTTTGTCTTTGCTATTTTTTCCGGAATTACTAAATTAATCATTATTTTAAAATTTATGGTACCGTGAAATACTCGAAAAGTATTTTTAATTCCTGGGGAAAAAATCACCAATAAAAATATGCAGTATCCTGGGAAACCAAGATGATGTTTTTCCAAAAAATGAAATATAATTGGTGGTTTTTGTCTAGATGAGAGGCAAAGACATCTTATATTTTATTGTGTTTGATATATGATTATTACATGTCTCTTACGTAACGTCGGATTATGTACTATCATGGGTTATTATTTTACTGTTGCAATTATTATGTTGGTTTCGTCTTCTACAAAATATATCAGAGTATAATATATCTATTAAGGGCAATGTTTCACATGGGGATACTCCCTTTCCGTAAAAAAAAAAAAAGGAAACAAACAAACACAAAAAAAAATTAGATTTACATAGAAATCAAGCTTTCATCCATGAATTAATTTCGTCCACCATATTCTGTTTTTCGAGTAATATAAGACATTTTCTTCTTTTGTTGAATTTTATGCATCTACTTTTGTGTTATGTACGAGGGTAAGTTGAAAAATAAGTTTCCCCTGTCCACTGTGGTCAGAGTTGTGTATGAAAGTCAAAAAATGAGACATTAAAGATATGACATACCTTTATTTTTCCACATAGGTACCAAGTACATTGAGACATTTGTCATATCGCTTGATAAGCTTCAAAAACCTTTCCAGGAAAAAATCAGGGCTTTGCATATGGAAAAAGCGTTTCACTTCAGTATTGCTTCCAAAGCGCCTTCTCCCGAGATTTTTCTTCAAAGCCGGAAACAGATGGAAGTCGCTTGGTGCGAGATCAGGACTGTATGGCGGATGGTGTAGGCGCTCCCAACCAAGAGTTGCAATATGGTTTTGCGTTGCCCTCGCCGAATGTGGTCTGGCATTGTCATCCAACAGCAGACTGCCAGATGTGAGAAGGCCAGGCCGCTTTTTCCGAATTGCCTCTTTCAATTTCGACAGGGTGTCACAGTAGCGCGTAGCATTGATGGTTCCAACCTCCAAAAAGTCCAGCAACAAAACTCCTTGGGCGTCCCAGAAAAATGTGAGGAGCACTTTACCTTTGCAGAGGAAGTTGTCTTGAACTTCTTTCGGACAGGTGATGACGGATGTTTCCACTCCATAGATGCGGCCGTCGATTCTGGCGTGAAATGGTGGACCCATGTTTCATCCCCCATCACAATCCCAAACAGAAAGTCATTGCCATCTTCATGGTAACGCACGAGATGCTCTAGGCTGACCCCCCATGCGTTGTCCATTTGAAGAAAAATCTCGGGGGAAGGCGCTTTGGAAGCAATACTGAAGTGAAACAAGCCGTTCAACGCTTCTTCCATATGCAAAGCCCTGATTTTTTCCTGAAGGGCTTTTTGAAGCTTATCAAGCGATATGACAAATGTCTCAATGTACTTGGTAACTATGTGGAAAAATAAAGGTATGTCATATCTTTAATGTCTCATTCTATTTTTTGACTTTATTACAACTCTGACCACAGTCGACAGGGGAAACTTATTTTTCAACTTACATGCGTATTAAGCAATAAATCACGTTATTTAACTGTAAATTCTTTTCGCTTTAAATTTAGAATTCCTTTATCAGTAATTTATTTGTTTTCATTGCTAGCTGAGATTTCAACCATCTGAATCACTTGGGTAGATAAGATAATAACTTAGTTCACTAGCCTGGTTTTAAAGGGTTTATTTACATTTATCTTTATTTTTTTTAAATTTTAGGCCTGTTTTAGATTTTTCTGTGCCGAAGGATATGAAGAACATTAGAATATTCTTTAACAGCTTCCTAGGTAATTTTTTAAATTTAATATTATTAACTTTTAAGAGGCTTAATTAAGTATAAACAAATCAATAACAAAGTCCGGTACCTTCGCTACAAAAAAAAATTTAAATATTTTTTAAAATACGATGGTTTTCAACTTTTGGCTTGTCCAGATTATTCTCATAAAGTTTTTATAGAATATATTATTTAGAAAAGTTTAAAAATATCTTAACAATGTAGATACATAACTTTAAAATTTTAACAGAATTTAAAACTTATCAATTTGAAAATTTTAGAGGATTTTTTACTTTTGAAAAATAAACAATATTAATTAGTTTGGTGTTTGATGAACGATCTCGTTTGTTTTTTTAATAATAGCAACCATATTCTCAAAAACTATTTCAGCTATTTTAACTATTCTGCTAACTAACAGATCCTAAATATTCATTAAGGATCGATGTATATGAGAAACAAATCGTTTAGAAATTTTACAGTATTCTTACCTTTAAGTAAGTAGTGATTTCCAGGGAACAAAATATTTTGGGAAACCACTGTTCCAGTTGATGTGTTTATTTGAGTAGTACCACTTACTAAAAATCCTGTTCTGTAAAAAACAAGTAAGTTTGCATTAATACCGATGCTCTTCATATACCCTACATAATATATTCATAGATTAACACATTTTTATATTTAATTAGGTAAAAATATAATTATTCTTTATTAAGAAATATTTGATCTCCCATCATTAAAAAATATACAAAAGATTTTTCCTCTTTTGAAAAACAAGCTGTTACTCACAAATAAAAGCTAAACAGAATGGGTTGCAAATTTGGAAACTGCCACCTAAATTTTAATCTTGATATCTTTTATTGTATTTTATAAAGCTAAAAACACTTCAGTATCCAATGCATTTTACAAAAAAGTCAAAGTTCACAATTTGGCAAAGAAGTAAATTATTAAGTATTTCTCGCTTCAAAAATATTCGATAATCTATGTATACAGTAAGTTATTCTTTTGGTGTTAAATAATTATTTGTCTTTCCTAAACCTGTAGCTACTCCGTCACAAATCATGCATACAAATTAAAACTGAACTGAGAAATAAATAAAAATTACTTATAAAGAATTAACCTATTTACCTGGCAAAGTTGCATCGTCAATAATAGAGAAAAAGAGCAGATGACAGCTTCATTTTCTACTGGAGGTCGTCAGCAGGACACTTTCTCATAGCGCTTTTTATCTGATGTATTTCGTAATATTTACTGCATTATTGGAGCATATTGATTATTTTCACATAAAGCTTTCCCTTTACTGATAGCTCGTACACAAACAAATCGAAAATTGTTGTTGAGATTTCTTGAATTATCTATAAGGAAAAAACACTTTTAAAAAATAAATATTTCAATTTACTTTTTGGAACTCTAAAGTTTGTAATAAGCAGAAACAATATTTTAATAACTTTTCAACAATGTCTTATATACGTTGTCTTTAAACATTGGATCAATTTTTGATAGAAGTTATTTATTGAAAGAAAAATATTTCAACGATAAAAGCTGAATGTTTCCACTTCATACTTAAAATATGTCTCGCATTGCTTTCCAGAGAACTAATTGGCGCGAGTTTTGAAGCGATGAAACATAATACCCCAGCAGAAGCTAATAACATAAAGCATGAAAAATTTAGCTTCCTTACTTTTAAGTACGTCGAAAGCCATCGTCTTATTTGGAGCAAGCAGATGTCTTCTCTCGTCAAGACATTAGCACAGCCAATTTTAGGGATACATTTATTGCAAAGCCCTGCGCCCAAGCGACAGTAAAAAAATCTGATGTGTACACCACATGACTTCCTTGTACGGAATATTAAATTGTATGCATTTTTTTCTTGAATTTCATTTAAATTGATTGGATTGAATTAAATCTACTTTGTCGACAGCGCATAAACCACAATAGAATAAATGCACTCTTTAAAATACACTATATTTGTTTACTATAACGGCACTCTGAATGCACAAAATTTATATCATTTGAAGAATTATCGTTGCCTCATGTTCTATTCAAATAAAGCTAAAACGATGTATGAAAGAAATTAAGCAAACAAAACAGAAAAGAAACAGTTTTTCACAGACGATTTAGTATTTCTCATTCAATTAATTCAGTTCTCACTTCGCGGCAAGGCAAAAATACATAAAATCTCAAAATATCTGCATTAAAAATTACGAAGTAAATCTTAAATATTTATTTCCTCGAAAAAATTCCAGATAGGATTAAGCATCATTTAATTCGCAATAATAAATGAAGGCGGTATTTTTGTGTTGCGAAGATTAGTCTCTCTAGATTGGCAACAAATCTACAATTCTGCTGTTTCAAATGTAAACAAATATGTCCGCCATGTTATTTAAAACGTAACCGCACTTAAATAGCTTTTAAATTGTTGATAATTGTACAAATATTGCTTCCAGAATTACGAAAGGCATAAAACCCTTAACCGGAAGATAAAAACAACATAATTCAATCATTTTTAAAGCAAAAAATGTACAATTTACAAACATATAAGAGTAAAGAAACTGAGATTACTGAGCCGTGTAACAGACTGGATATATATATATAAATATATTTATATACGTTTGGTGCGGCCGATTGCAACCAAAACACGAGGTGCACATCTACATGTTATAGGAGTCCTATCTATATACAAAATTTCAACGTTCTGAGGCTATTCGTTTTTGAGTTATGCGAGATACGTGCGTACGTACGTACATACGTTCGTACAGACGCCACGAAAAATCTCTTCAGAATTCATTTTAAAGCAGTTTTATAATTTTTTTGGAGGAAAAGAGTCTTTTATTCTGTCCTTACGTACAGTTATCACGCAAAAACATCGTTAAATTGCATTCGATAGCTGTCAAAATGGATATTTTCGTTGAAATATGTTTCCTGAAACTTTTCGCGATTACAATACTTCCTTTTTACTTCGTACAAGGAAGTAAAAATGCATAGCTGTGTATTGAATAATTAAGATATTTATTTATATAACAGGTTCACAAATCTCTAAGTGAAGTTTATTTATAATGCAATATTATTAAATCCAATATTTCTACTATTTTAAATATAATAGTTATTTTGTCCGTATTTATTTTCGGAAGGCTTATAGCTTAAATTAAAAGGTATACCATAACTGTTTAGTTTAAAATTATTTCAGGTATAAAATTAATATATGCTAACCAAAACCAGATTGTAAAATCTTCTTAGACATATGATCTTTTGTATTTCTAGTTATTATTTTAATAGTTTTTACTTTGATTGCAGAGGCTTTGAGGAAATGGTGAATCTGAATTATCATGCAGTTTTATTATCTAAGGATTATCTGTGTAAGGGAAAGGATGTCTTTACAGAGAGGCTAATAACAGAAGTTGGCTCGAATTTAAATGACTCATGTGGGAAACGTCAGAAACCCCCATTCAATTAGTTAGCTCGCCAGCATTTAAGTTAGAATTGAACTACCACTGTTTAACTGTGTCTGGAAAGCTTGTTGTAACAAAACTCACACGTTAAGGTTTTCTTTAAAATTTTTTTAAAGTATTTAGAAATCAATTATTAGTATTTAAAAAGTATTTAAAAATTCTCATTGTAGCGAATAGTTTATCCAACAGATGGCAGTATCTGCCAAGCTCCTTTGGTAATTGTCATTGCGCATGCGCAAGCGGAGTGTAAAAAGAAGTATGTTATTAGGAGAATGAGCTTTCGTTAATAATGTTGCTGCGCGTTTTCGCTGTGTAAATAAAAGTATATTTTTATATCATAGATGTTCTTTACTCTCTAATGCGAAGCACTAGGTTAGTGCACGAATCTCTTCTGATTCAGAAACCATTTTCAAACCGTGGATCACCACAATAAAAAGTGGCGTCCGTCTAACAGGACGCATTAGTTGGGTAAAGGACACTTTTGATGGTTTAACAGCAGAAATGGAAGCCTTGAAAAGTAAGAAGAATACCACTCTGCGTGCAGCCTTCACGAAAGCATATAATAGCCTACATGGACATTTGAATGAGTCAGAATTGAACAGTGATGTTCTATTATCCTCCCTGGAAATCCTGGAAGATAAAGGAATTCGACTACAACAGTTGGATGAAGAAATATTGGATCTCCTATCAAAATCGAAAGAAGTCTCGCAAGAAGAATATACTAAAGAATTTGAGTCATGTGAGACTTACAAGGAGAAATTAATAGCAGCCAGGATGAAAGTGAAGCAAATCACTGTGAAACTAGAGAAAATTTTGCTGACTCATGCATCGGTAAATGAAACCAGAACTGTTGATTCAAGAACAACGGCAACGAATTTGAAGCTTCCGAAAATAAATTTGATTGAATTTACAGGTGATCCACGACAATGGTTGAATTTCTGGAATACCTTTAGTAAGATACACGAAGATCCAGTGCTAGATGATCATTTGAAATTCGTATATCTGATCCAGGCTACTGCTGCCAAATCGAAAGCACGGGAAATAGTACAGAGTTTCCCGACAACTAAAGAAAATTATCCGAAAGTCATCGAACATTTAAAGAACCGTTTTGGACGTGAAGATATTCTTATACAAGTGTACGTTCGGGATTTATTGAATCTTGTGTTGATAAATAATAATGCAACCAAAAAGGACTTTGCGCTATCATCGTTGTACGACAGTTTAGAAACAAAACTGCGTGCTCTGGAATCTCTCGGTGTGACTGAAGATAAACACGCTAGTGTTATTTTTCCGTTAGTTGAATCTTGCCTGCCCCCTGACATCTTACGCGTGTGGGAGAGGGAACGGGAGAGCTCGTCACAACAAGGTAAGAGCGATCTTGAATCTATTCTTCTGTTTTTGAAAAATGAAGTGATATCTGAAGAGAGAATTAAATTAGCGCGTTTTTCTTTTGATAAAAGTAGAAAATCTAAAAGTTACATTAATGATGAGTCTAATATTCCTACTTGTAATGATTTGTATACAGGAGACAAATTTAAAGAAAATGCTCCTATTAAGAAAGTTGAGGAATCGTGTTTATTTTGTGATAAGCCACATTTAAACAGAAAAATGTTTAAAGCTAGTACGCTTACATATCAGGATAAAAAAGATTTAATTTTAAGAAGGGTTTATGTCTATTATGCTTGAAGAAAAACCATATTTTCTCGTAACTGTAAGTCCAAGGTTAAGTGTTTAATTTGCCAGAAAAGGCATTTGGCAGTAATGTGTCAACAAGTTCCTTCTCAATTGAAAGAGACTAAACAAGTAGAGCCTGTGGCGAAAAATGAGGTCAATGTTTTGGCTAGCAGATCCGCGAGCTCCGATGTGTTACTACAAACATTAATCGTAAGGGTAAAAAATGGCAACAGGGAAAGGATAGTCAGAGGGATTATAGATACGGGTTGCGAGAGAAGTTATTTAACGAAAGATATTACAGATTCTTTGAAATGTAACAGTGTTGGTGAAGTGAAATTAGTTCATAAATTATTCGGAGGTGTAGAAACAAAAAAAAATTGCATTCTAAATATATAAGTTAATTTGAGTAGCCTTGATAATAAATATGTATGTAGTGTGCATTGTTTAAAGTGAATCTGTTATCTGTTCTGATGTTAAGAAAATACCTAAAGGTCCTTGGTTGAAAGAACTTCGTAAATTAAATATTCAAGGTGTCAGATGTAGAGGGTAATGCTCTCCGAAACGAAAGTGACATTAAATTGTTGATAGGTTCTGATATTGCTGGAAAATTATTCACCGGAAATATTAAATGTTTACAAAGTGGTCCGGTCGCTCGCGATGGAAACAAGTTTGGGATGGATTTTAATGGGTCTAAAATTCCAGCGAAGGAATCTTCGGGTATAAATGATTCTCTTGCATGTGCTTTCTTTATTGCTAAACGAAAAGATCAGCAGAAAACTTGTGGAAGTTAGACGTTATTGGTATAAATGACCCAGTTGAGTCTAAAAAGAAAGCTGAAATGTCATGAGGAGACCATGCAATATTTTGAGGAAAATTTGAATTTGGATTCAGACGGGAGATATGAAACTTGCATTACCTTGGGTACTGGACCCCTCTCGCTTGTCTAATAATAAAACGTTGGCAGAAAAACACGCCTGACTAACATACGCGAAGGAAATTATTAGATTCGAATCAAATTAAAGTTTATCAGGAAGTATTTGATACTTGGTTGAAGGAACGAATTATTGAAGAGGTAAATGAAGGCGAAGTAGATAGAGAGCACTATTTGCCTCATAGGCCGGTTTTTAAAGAATCTAACGAAACTATGCGAGTAAGGCCAGTTTTTGATGCTTCGGCACATGCCAAAGGAGAACTTTCCTTAAATGATTGTCTTGAGAAAGGTCCCAACCTAATAGAAATAATTCCAACATTGTTGAATCGTTTTCGGAAATATCCTGTTGCAGTAATTTCAGACATTGAGAAAGCCTTCTTGCAGATTGGTATAAGAGAGAAGGATAGAGATTATTTGCGTTTCTTTTGGAAAGGTGCAAAAGAAGAGAATACTAAAATTTACAGACATTGTCGCGTGGTTTTTGGGCTTAACTGTAGTCCATTTTTGTTAGCCGCTACGTTGAACTATCATTTAAATCGTGCCCCAGATCAGTTTGCAGTTACAGCCAACATTTTGAAGGAGTCCTTCTATGTTGATAATTGCCTGACTAGTTTTAAGAATATTGAAGAATTGAATAGATTTGTACTAGAATCGAGAATGTTATTGTCACTGGGAAAGTTTAATCTTAGAGGATGGCAGTCGAATTGTGAAACCGAAATAATTCCCAACTCTAAATTAGATACATTCGTTTGCGTTTTAGGGTTAAACTGGGATTTGAAGGATGATACTCTTTCCTGTAAAATTGAGTCACTAAAGAAAGAGGAGATTGTCGCGAGTAAACGAACACTCCTTTCTTGCGCGCATAAGTTATTTGACACAGTAGGCTTCCTTTCTCCCGTTACCCTGTTCCCAAAGGTGATATTGCAAGAGTGTTGGAAATTACGATTAAATTGGGATCAAAAATTGCCAGAACATTTAGAAAAGAAGTCCATACAATGGGTAAAGGAAATGAAACTGCTGTCTGATGTCAAAATTTCTAGATGGCTTAATATTGACAGATCGGTTAACGAAGATGTAAGTCTTCATGTTTTCAGCGATGCCAGCACGCATGTCTATGCTACCTGTATTTTCCTAAGAGTGAAGACCGAAAATAAGATTTATTTAAATTTTGTGCAAGCACGCACTAGAGTTAAGCCTTTAAAGAGTATATCCATTCCTCGTTTGGAATTATTATCCTGCTTAATCGGAGCACGCTTGGGACGTATGGTCTTTTCAGATTTGAACATGCCAAATTTAAGAACATTCTTCTGGACTGACTCAACAACCGCTTTGTGCTGGATCCAGCGAGACGTACGGTGGGGAACTTTCGTTTGGAATCGTGTCCAAGAAATCAGAACACTTACAAAAATAGAAGATTGGCATTACATCCCTTCGGAGCTGAATGCCGCCGATCTCCTTTCTAGAGGCTGTTCAGTTAAACAGTTTTTTGCTGTCGAAATGGTGGGAGGGCCCATCATGGCTGTTAGAACCAGAATCGTCATGGTCAAGAGGCACCGATTTGCCGGACGAAGAGATCATAAATTTCACAAAAGCATAAATCAGTATTGACAACTCTTAACAAAGATTCTAAACCTGACAATTGGTATTACAGGTACTTTTCATCCATAAAGAAAATTGTACGCATGTTAGGTTGGATTCTTAGGTTTTACTTTAAATTACGAAGAATTACAAACGAAACCTCCAAAACTTTGTCAGTTTCGGAAATTGAAAGAGCTGAGATAACTCTTATGTTATTGATTCAAAGAGAATCATTTAAGGGTGTGAACGATGATAAAATTAAAGACCTCAGACCTATAGTTGATCGTGATGGTTTGATCAGAGCTAAAACCAATATTTCTTATCGTGACGATACTGATGACTTTAAGTTTCCTGTCATTTTGCCATCTGATCATGCAGTAGTAAACTTACTAATAATGAATGCACATAATGAGCTGCTGCATGCTGGTACTTCTATGGTGATGTCTCATTTGCGGGAAAAGTATTGGATCCTCAAAACTCGTAAGACAGTACGAAACTGCATTAGAAAAATGTGTTAAATGTCAAAGATTTAAAATCCAAAAGTTGTGATGTAACTCCAGGAATTTTGCCGAAAGATAGAGTACGTGATGCAAATGTTTTTGAGATAGTGGGTGTCGATCTGGCAGGACCCCTCTACCTTAAAGATGGTCGAAAAGCTTATATTGTTCTTTACACATGTGCGGTTTATAGGGCCATTCATCTGGAGTCAGTAACATCCTTGACAACTGAAGCTTTTTTTCCAGTCATTGAGACGTTTCATTTCTCGTCCGCGGAAAAACCATCTACAATATATACTCAGAACAATGGCAGTAATTTTAAAGGAAGCGGAGAGCCTTCTGCATACAATTGATTGGGAGAGTCTGCGATCAAAGGCCGCTGAGCAAAGAATTCAGTGGAAATTTATTCCTCCTTCCGCACCTTGGTGGGGCGGTTGGTGGGAACGTTTAGTTCAAATGGTGAAACAGATTCTGAGAAAAGTTCTAGATTGTGCTGCCCTGGATTACGAGGAGTCTGCTTACAATACTATTGCGACTGTGAGAGTAATCAATACTAGGCCACTTTACCTACGTGTCGGAAGACATTGAAGAATTCATCCTCCATTAACTCCGGAGATGTTTTTGCAGGAGATTTGCAGATCAGGAATACCTGATATCGATGTAGCGGATAAGGAAAAACTGAACAAACAAGCTAAGTATCTACAGAAGGTGAGAACAACTCAGAGCAAGATTCCATGTGGAATATCTAGGACAGTTACGTCAACAATCCATTAAAAACTCTACAGCTAAACCTCTCCAAGTAGGTGAAATTGTTTTACTGGAAGACAGCAACAAAAAACGTGCATTTTGGAACCTGGTGCGTGTCATAGAGCTGATGCCTGGTCGTGATGGACAAATAAGACTTGCTCTCATAAAAACAGACTTCTGAGTTTCTAAGACCTGTACAAAGACTGTACAGACTTGAGCTGGATAATCCAGTCCAAAAGGATATGACTGAAAATATTCCTATGAGTACCAGCAGTGGTAGAACTGTGAAACCAGTGATACGTCTGTGAAATGTTTGTACTTGTTTGAATACTTTGTAATAATTTGATTTATTTTTATTTTTCTAGGTTTAGTATTATCTGTTACTATGTCTAGAAAAAATTATGGAATGCTGCATCTCCAGGTAAATATGTATTTCAATTTAATTAGAACATCTTGGTAGGCATAATTTTATACTTAATGTATACTGGATTTTCAAGAAACTTGCATTTTTCTTCATAGTCACACTGAAAATGTATAAATTCTAATTGAAGTTCAAGTCACTTCCAACTGTAGCGAATAGTTTATCCAACAGATGGCAGTATCTGCTAAGCTCCTTTGGTAATTGTCAATGTGCATGCGCAAGCGGAGTGTAAGAAAAAGTATACTGTTATATGGAGTTATTAGGAGAATGAGCTTTTGTTAAGAATGTTGCTGTGCGTTTTCGCTATGTAAATAAAAGTATAGTTTTATAACATAGATGTTCTTTACTCTCTAATGTGGAGCACTAGGTTAGTGCACGAATCTCTTCTGATTCAGAAACCATTTTCAAACCGTGGATCACCACACTCATAATTAAATCAATAATTAACTTTTAATCATTTGTTTATATGCTTAGTTTGCTTTGCCAAAAATTCATTATAATTAATTTAATTTATTATGCAAACAATTATTTACATTTCTCGCTTGTATGATAAAAATTTAATTATGTCAAAACCTATATGTGCTAAACAATTTTTAACGCCATTTTTTGTTGTTGTTGCAGAGGGGCCAAAATGACATTTAGAAGAAAATGCCATTTAATGACTAGAAAACTTATAAAGCTCTTCCATTAGTATTCATAATATATAAAAAACAATGTTCATAATACGGTAGGCTTCAAATACTTATTAAAATAGTGTATTAAACACATCTGCATTCTACTTATTGATTTAAAACGATTTGTGTAATTATTATACAAATTTATTTATCCTTATTTCAAATCTCTAGGCACACAAATGACTTGAATATTAAAATTATTAACTTTACTGACCGTCATTACAGCAAACTATAAATAATTGTTATAAATTTTTGCTTCCTATTGGATCCAAGTGTTCATTGTCTTCACAGCAATTTTAGTTTTATTTTTGCTTAATATTCGCTCGAAATTTCTTGCTTAAGGCGAAGTAAAAATATCGGTTATAACCTCGTTTCCATTTTGTTCCCCTTTTATCGTCAATCAAGTAGCAGGAATCCTCTAAATTAACATCCTTAATAATATTTCAAATTATGAGAAATCATACATATCTTGAATATCGATTTCGACCCACGCAGGGATAAGCTTTAAGTGTCGTCATTACTTTCCAGTCTCACGAAATCAATTTCTAGTTATCATTAGTATCACTTTAATCGTCCAAGAATGATCATTCCTCCACGATACATAGCATGTAAATCATTACAAGATACATGTCAGATACCCATTATGCAAATCTCCTTCCAGAAAACTAAAGAGAACCACAATTGGGGAACTGAGTAGCCCAAGAGAGAAGAGGAAAAAATTGCGTCCTTGCAGTCTTTGGGCCCTGGAGACATCGGAGTGTTAATTACGGTGTTTGTTTAATCGATTCCTTTGATGTATCGATGAAGCCGTTTTCCATTATGGAGAAGAATGCTCTTAATTGGGTTTCCCAAATTCCAAATTTTTCAGTTTTCGAGATGATGACCTGATTAAGCAAGGAGCGCGACCTGGTGGAGATTCTTCGCTGCCTTTTGGCTGTTTGTGCATCTATTCTCAGTTCCTTCTTCTTTCGCATGACAAGCGATTATTGTCACCAAGTGAAGGGGTTTGCTAAAAATTTAATATTACGAGATCTTCTTCCATTCAATTAGGATTTACTTGATTCGATTTTAAGTAAGAGTGTTTAACAATTGAGATAACTACTGACTTTGAGTATGCCTTGCAAGCAGGATTTTATTTTGCAACCTAAGATCTGCTTATAGCCAAGGAAACAGAAACTGTTTGTCAGAAAAGGTTTGTTTCAATCGACTTCTAGTAAAAAACGTTACTTAAGCAAAATTCAACTTTAGATTGATGATCCGTCTGTTTCAAATTCTAAATTTTTTCAAAAATTTAAATATCAAGTTTATATTGCGTAATTTAATGTCCATGAAGCTGAGCAAAAGTATCGCTTATTAACTCTTTGACAAATAAATGTTGTATTTTTTATTTCAGCTATGCTTTGTTGATAAAAAAATTCATTGTGTATTTATAATTCTATAAGTTATTTAAAGATGTTGAATAGCCAAATTATATAACATATAAGAAAATTTAAACTGTCACATCATGTTATATATATTTCTTGAATTTGTATTTTAGTTAAATATCAAGAAAAGATTTCCGAATATATACAAGAAAAGATTTCCTTAATATATATCTCGTTTTCTCTTTATTGAAAAGTGAGCAGAGATAAGTAAATTAAACCTATGATTCCATCATATGAAGCGAAATTGCGAGATACATTCTGTTAGATTGCTTCACCAGTGACCAAGTAGTTAAAACCACTGAGTACCGTGAGTTCGACTTTGATCCCAGCCAAACGGGCTAACTTCATGGTTGGTTTCCGGTGCCTTTCCGCGCCTACCTGCGCTCGAACATTCAAGTCGTTGAACACTGGTAGTTCGTTCTGGATTTCGAATCCGGGAGAATGGACTGACTGCATGGGTGTTTTCATGGTTTTCTATCTGCTGGTTTTCTATCTTTCTATCTGTATTTCTATCATAATTCTGCTGGAGCAAGTTTGTTTCCAATTTTTCCGTCGTTTGGTGCTGCAATGTTTTGTTACTGTGTATTGATTGCTGCCACTCTCGCCGCTCTTTCAAAATTCTCTTTTATTTTCTATGCTTAATTTATAATGCTTCTTAACGTTGATCCTGACATTCCTAAATTCCTCACCAACAGTACATTCTTTATTTTCATACATTTACACACTTTAGCTTTTTTCTGCTTCTCATACTTAAAACGATTTCTCTTTTTTCCATCTCTCTGAAGAAATGAAGGATTTACTACAATGCTACTAGCTAACTCAACTAGCTCACATTTACACTGGTACATAAACCACGCTAAACACTGGTAGTTCGGTCCGAGGTTCGAATTCCGCGAACGAGCTGGCTACATGGGCGTTTTTTTGGTTTTCCCTATGTGTAACGTGTATACGAGCCAGTTCCCCTTAGAAGGTCCTCCGTGAAGACATTCCTCCATTAGTCAGATAGCCTTCGTGGGTTTTACTGTAGTAAATAAACCGAAACCGTGGCTTTTCCATGCTTAAAATGAAAACGAGTTATTACCCTTAGAATGTCCCCCACGACAGCATCTCTCTCTTTAGACAGATAATGCGAGCGTGTTTTGTCTTCCAAATAACTTTTAACTTGTCTTAGAATATTCTTCATGAAGGCATTCTTCTCTTTCTAGAGGGAAGCATTCTTTCTCTTAATTTAATAGATAATTAACCTATTATTGCATAGAATATTACAGTATTAGTTGAAGAAATTTAATAATTTATATCATATCCGCAACACGCCCTTCAGCTGCCGAATGACACAGCACACTGGTAGTTCGGTCCGAGATGGGAGTTCCAGGAAACGGGCTGTCTGCATGGACGTTTTCCTTATATTAACGTGCATACAAGCCAATGTTATCTAAAAAGTTCTCCACAGGCCTTTCCACCCTTTCCGTATAATAGCGGAGTACTTAATAAACAAAAAAGAAATCTGCAACACGTTTTGTTGACAATAAATAAAACGTTGAGTTTTTCAAACATAAAAGAAATGCTTTTCTGTCTACCTTTGTGTATATACGTATTTGTGTATATATCGTATGTGTACGAATGCATTCATGCATTTGTATATTTATGTACACATGTATGCATGATGGAAAAACATAAAATAATGTTAAAAACATAACTGACTTTTTAATATATATTTAAGTTGCAGTAAAATAAACTAGTTAATACACGGTAACTGATCTAAGTTTGCTTCTGTAAAGAAACACTTATGTATGCCTGTTTACCTATATGTGCACTTAATGTAAAAGTTTTAAATTTTCTCTCAACTATTTTTTTATCCTCTAAATTTGTTGTTCCAGTTCAAAATTTAGCCGTTTTTCTATTTCTACTAAGGTATTTATTTATTTCGTCTTTCCTTTCAGGTTCATTTTAGTCTCGAATTTCTTGCTTATGTTTAAAGAAACAAAATTCTTTCCCAGATCACATCAAAGGATTTCAATCCTCATATAATAAAAAAATTCTCTACTAGATGGTATGAGATGAAATTTAATCTTAGCAGAGAATGATTGGTAATTAGACGCATGCTTTTCTATTATATTTCACTGCATGTTTACATGATCCAGTTTAAGTGTTCAAGCTTGTCATCTTATCTGTTTCTGCTTTATATTTAAGCTACCATAAAATATAAATAACTTGCTACCATTGTATATTTATGTCTATGTGCAAAGCGGTGAAAAGTGATTATTAGCATTATAACGAAGTTTTACCTTTATTTTATCATACCTATGCACACACACCATAGCCATACACCCATATATACCCATAAACACCAATAATTTAAATGTTTAGACGTAGTTTCAAATGATGACATTTTATCCATTAACAGCTAATGCAATCGTGGCAAATCGAACCCAATTTATTCTTGATAAGGCATTTTTGATGCAGAAGCAAACTAAATTGGCATGCAAAGCGGGTTTTATTCTTTTAAAAAATATTACATTTTTAAGGCATCAAGTAAAGAAAGCAACTAGCTCGAAACAGCAATCTAACTGGAGAGAGAATTGCGGAGCGAATGTGACATATTGAAGGTGAAAGTTCAGTTCAGATGATTTAGTTTTAACTGAGATTTATCACCACTTGCTAATTTTAAGTTTTGATTTCAAAATTTGAAATTATTATTGGTGTAAGTGTTAGTTAATCATCTACGTTATGAGCCTTATGCCAGAATAATATATGATCTAATTTTGAAAGGACTGAAACCAACAGATGGCGGTTTTACACAAATGATGGTTTCAACCACCAACAGATGATGGTTTCACCAACAGATGGCACCACTTGCTTATTCTTGTCCAGGCTTTCTTATCTTATCTAA